CTGTGCTCTCTCTGGCCCCTGCAGCAACAGGGGCTCCTCTTCTTCTGGGCCAGGTGCCTCTTTCTGGAGCTGGAGAACAGTCTCCACTGAACTCACTTTTGGCTTCCTGACCTTATGTTTTTGCTTGTTGAGTTTCCTAGACAGTGACTTCAATTCAGATAGCACTTCCTGACTGCTAGAATCTTTTGTTTCTTGACTGCTCACCAGCTCTGCATCCTGGTGGAGCTCAGACGTTTTTCTAAGGGATCGCCTCTCCTCAAATTCCTTCAACAAAATTTCTTCCTCTGCCACTGGTCTTTCATCTCCCTCACTTTCAGAAACCTTGCTGGAAACAGGCTCTGGTAGTTGTTTGGGGTCCTTGTGGAATTCTCCTTCTTTTGTAACAATGGTGCAGCTCCTGAGCATCCAGGGATTCAGCCTGTCTCCATTAAACCACACTGCATTCACTACATCAGGGACAAGCAGTTTTTCCTCTTCTGTGCCTTCTTCCTCGTCCTCACTCTTAGAGGCTACCTGGAGCTTCTGTATCAGTTCTTTGTTCTTGGCCAATTGTTCTGCATAGCTTGATGAGCCTCCAGGTCATATTTGGCCATAATTGCCTTTGACTTGGCCCATCTCCCACTGTTTTGGTGCTTAAGGCTCATTCGTTCAATCCTCCTGGCCTTTTCAATTTTTTCCAGTTCTACCAATGCTGCAGCTGGATTCATCTTCTGCAGCTGCTCAAACTCTTTCAGGGCTTTCTTGGCCTTTCCTTTCTTCACAGCTTTGTGATATTTTTTGCTTTTGATTTTCTTCTCTCTTCGAGCCCTAGCCTCATAGTAGGACTGCAGAGCCCGGGCCCTCTGAAGTTCTGCTCGGTGCATCTTGGCCTCTTTCAGGCTCATGGCTTTCAGGGAGGTCTTTTCCGTGGGAGTCAGTAAAGGGTCTGTCACCGGCTGCTTGTTCTTATTGAGGAGGTTGAAAATTTCCTGCTCCAGGGGGGTTTTTGCCTTCTAGTCACTGAACACATGTTTGATGGGCACATAGACTGACTGCTTCTTCTCCAAGGGAAAAACCAACTGCTCTGCTTGCCTGTTCTTCACGACAGGATCCCACTTGGAGAGGACTTGTGTGGTTCTATTGAATGCTACTTCTCTGTGGATCCGTTCGACCTCTTCTTTGTTAAGGGGTATCTCCAAGGTCTTCTTTGCCTTGACTCTCTTCAGTTGCTTTCTCACAGTAGCCAATGAGGAGGAAGTTTTAACAGGCTGGAACAGATCTGAAAGGACCAGCTTTTCTCCTGATCCTTCTGCACCAACACTGACTTCTGATACCTTCAGGCTAGCCTCAGATGGCTCAGCCAGTTTCCACTATTCTTTCCATCAAGGGAACTGATTGCTTCCAGAAGCTTTTGATGCTTTTTCTCTTTGTCACCATCCCCCTCATCTTCACTGGTGCTCAAGGGGTAGTCTTCTGGAAAATCCACTAATTCATCCTGTTGGTTTACAGCCAGAAGGCTCTCCACAGCCTGAGTGGCACTCATATCTCAGCAACTCTGCTTCTCACATGGGTCAGGAGCGGAAGCTGAAAGGCCAGCGTGAGTTTTTTGAGCCACCGGGTCCAGGACTCAAACTGTGGTGGACTACGTGGGAGTCCAGCAACATAACCATTACGCCATCTGCTAGTCCCATATTATTTTTAATTTGACGAAGGCTGCCCTGAGAGCTCCCTCCCCCTCCTCCCCCATCTGTGCGAGTTCTCCCAATGGTGGCCTACCATGTGGAAGTCCAGCATACTCCCACCCTATCACCTGCCAGTCCCCAGTTCCCTCTTTTTTTTGAGAGCTTTTTTTTGGTATAGAGCGTGTGCGCTTGCCAGACAGAGAGAGAGAGAGACAGAGAGACAGAAAGTGAGTAATCTTCCTCACCCCCAGTAGGGTGGCCATGCTGCAATACTTTCTTCTCTATTCTCCTCTTGGGATCTTGGGCACGCACGTACACGCGCCCGGTGTGAATTTCAAGCCACCGGGTCTGGGATGCGAACCGCAGTCGACTACTGGGAGTCCAGCGACATAGCCATTACGCTAACTGCTGGTCCCTTTTTTTTTTTGTAGAGAGGTTTTTGCTATAGTGCACAGACTCACTAGAGACACAGAAATAGAAAGTGAGTAATCTTCCTCACCCCCAGTAGGGTGGCCATGCTGCAATACTTTCTTCTCTATTCTCCTCTTGGGATTTTGGGCACAAATACACATGAAACCAACATGAGTTTCAAGGCATCTGGGACTCAAACCACAATTGACCATGTGGGAGTCCAGCACCTTAACTACTATACCATCTGCTGGGTCAAGCTCTGCAGTTTCTTTTTGAAATTATGAAAATATTCTGGAATTAGGCAGTGGTGGTGGTTGCACAACTTCATGAATATACTAAAAACTCTTGATGTATAAACTTTAAAGGGGTGAATCTATGTTATATTAATAATATAATTTTTTTTTCATTTTTAGTTTTTGCTATAGGTTATGTGTGCTTGCCAGAGAGAGACAGAGAGAAAGTGAAAAATCATCTCCTGGGGGGATGGCCACATCACAATCCTTTCTCCTCTAAGGATTTTGGGCATGTATGCACAGGAACCTAATGTGATTTTCTAGCCACCATGTCTGGGACTGGAACTGAGGAGTCTGCCTTGCAGGATCCAGCCACCTTAACCTCCACGCCACTTGCTGGCCCTATATCTTAATTAAAAAAATAAATAAAAAGAATTATTCATTGGTGCAAGGAGGTATTTTTGTGATTGGGGTGCTGGACACCCCCATGAGTGACTGCAGTTCGAGTTCTGGATCTCCCAGCCCCCCTTCCCTGCACATGTGCCCTACAGCAAATTAATCATCATCATTATAATGATCATAAATTTTTAAAATAATTATTTATTTATAATTATCATTTTAAAATTTGCTACAAGGCATGTGCACTCACCATAGAGAGACAGAGAGACAGAGACATAGAGAGGAAAAGTATGAAAGCAAAGTTCCAGGCCCAGGATTCAAAGCAGTCATCCACATGGGAATTCAGTGCCTTAACAACCACACCATCTGCTGACCTCACATATCTTAATTTTTAAGAGATCTAAGAGGTGGGGCCAGCAGGTGGTGTGGTGGTTAAGAGCACTGGATTCCCACATGGTCGACTGCAGTTCGAGTCCCGAACCTGGAGGCTTGCTTTCTCACTTTCCCTTTCTCTCTTTCTCTGTCTCTCTATGGTCAAAATTTAAAAATTATGGGACCAGCAGTTAGCGTAATGGCTATGTCGCTGGACTCCCATGTAGCCTACCGGGGTTCGAGTCCCAGACCCGGCAGCTTAAACTCACGCCGGGCGTGTGTGTGTGCTTGCCCAAGATCCCAAGAGGAAAATGGAGGAGAAGGGATTGCGGCGTGGCCATCCCCCCGGGGGGTGATTTCTCGCTTTCTGTCTTTCTGTCTGTCTCTCTCTCTCTCTGTCTGGTGAGCGCACATGCCCTATAGCAAAAACTGCTCCAAAAAATATTTTAAAATGATAACAACAAATGTAATTAAATAAATAAATTTTTTTTTTTAAAAAAAAAGAGCTCTAAGAGCTAGTTTTCAATAAATGTCAGCTACTATTATTTTTTTATTTTTTATTTTTTTGAGAGGTTTTTGCTACAGGGCACATGTGCTCGCCAGAGAGACAGAGAGACAGAAAGCAAGAAATAACCCCCCAGGGGGGATGGCCACACAGCAATCCCTTCTCCTCCATTCTCCTCTCGGGATCTTGGACACACACGCACAAGCGCCTGGCATGAATTTAAGCCACCGGGTCCAGGACTTGAACCATGGGAGTCCAGCGACATAGCCATTACGCCAACTGCTGGTCCCCTGAAGGTAATTTTATATAATCTTTTTGTATTGCATTATTTTGACTACCACCAATTACATGAGGTCAGGTGTAAAATTTTCCACTTTTGGAGCTCAAAAAGTTTCAGATTCTGGAGCATTTTGGATTTCAAATTATATCTCTAATCTCTTGCTCACTACTGAAAACCCAGGGGAATTTTTTTCCCCAAGATTTTTGCTATAGGGTATGTGTGCTCACCAGAGACAAATAGTGAGAAATCACCCACAGAGGGATGGCCACAGCAATCCCTTCTCCATTCTCCTCTCAAAATTTTGGGCATGCATACACACAGCCTGGCATGAGTTTTAAATCACTGGGTCCAGGACTCAAACCACTGTGCTTGGCCCTATGGACACCAAACCAAGGTCAACCACATGGGAATTCAGCGACATAACCATTATTCCATCTGTTGGTCCCAACCCAGGGGAATTTCAATTCATCTAGTTTTGGCATTTTGTATTAGGAGGAGGCAGTAGTGGAGATATAGTCTGCATATGCTTTGCTATCTGCGCACAGTTTCTCCTATTCTGTGTGAGGCCCTCAGACTAGAGAGTTCTGGTTTCTAACCCTCCACCTGGGGGCTAGATCCCAAGAAAGAAGATATACCAGGATGAAAATGAAGCTCTGATGTGGGGGGGGAGGGGAGGAGGGGACAGGGGACAGAAAACCAAAAAGTAAATAATATGATACAAAGTAACAAGGTTGTGACAGAGGCCTGTCCAAACATTAGCTCATCTCGCTGGGAAGGGTTCTGCGTGTATCCCAGAGAAGGCAGGAACATATGAAACAGGCCTGTATGAATAAGTAGATTCTTAACATGCAGCTATAAAATAAGTTACAACAATCCTTATTTGTACCAGGCCCTATGATGAGCCATTCTCTCAGGGCGTCTCTAACGGTCATAAAGTCTACTCTGGGAATTTAGAGAGGGAAAGTGACAGTCGAGATTTAGGCCCTCTGAACAGCCATAGACAAACTAGGCGGTCAGGGGGACCTCCAAGCGGGTCCTCCAGCTCCGCACATGGTCGGGACAGGAAGTACCGGGAGGCAGCTGGAGAAGCCTTCCCATCACCCCCCGCGGACCAGGGCACTAAAGGGTAGAATAGTTACCATGTCATTCGGGAGCCTTCCCTCTGATTGGCCCGAGCTTGCGCAGCAAGAGTCTCGCCGTTCCAAGGAAGGGGCGGAGCCTCGGTATAACGTCAGCACTTTTCTCTCACACCCCTCTTGGTACACCCGGATGCAGCCACTCACCAGCCCGCTTCGAGGGGCCTCTGTGACGTCACTACGCCTTCCTAGCCAACCGCAGCGGGGAGGGGCGGGACTCCATGTTCCTCCCACTGCCCCTCCCCTTTTCCTCCCCCTAACTCTTTAGGCTCCTCCTCTTCCCCCTCGTCCCTTCTGGAAGACCGCCCTCACGTTCGGTTTCAAACGCCTCATTGCCCAATGAGTAACAGGGTAGACCTGGAGTGGCGGCCTTGTCTGCCAATGTACAGACGGCGAGGGCGGAGC